AAATAATTCAAGTGGACCTAGTCATAACTGAGAAAAATTGTTTCCAAGAAGTTTACACTGATGCAGGTATTGATGGATTTTAATAGCCTAAGAGGGATTGCCTGGATGAGGGTAGCAAATGAGGGTTTGTCATCCCGTTTCATTTATGAATTTTAACAAAATCCACGCACCACATATCCTTTTAGCTGCTTCTGATGATCATGGCTTTTTCATAAACTCATGAATCACAATTTTTTTGTAGTTGGTTTTCTGCCTCATACACTAATTTTTGTCCTCGTCACATGTCATACATAAACCCTTTGGTAGGTAAAAAAGGTTAAGTCTGCATGCAAGATAAGTGGCCTATCAGGTCGGCTCTTATCTTCAGTTTATGTCGCATGGAACAACTAGGAGAATTTCTACTCCCCTCTGGATGGGATGCTAGCCCATCACAGGATTACCAGCATTAAATTTGCCGGTACCCATTTATACACCTGGGTGGGGAGAGGTACTGTGAGAGAACAAGAACACAACACAATGTCCCCAGTCAGGGTTTGAACTAAGACCACTCAATCCAGAGTCAAGTGCACTAACCAGGAGGCCACCGCACCTCCCATGCATAACCCCTCTGCCGTCTGCATATATGGTGTGATTTCCCTATGGTGGGAGAATCTTGTTGGTTAAATACCCCTATATCAAAAAAATTCCCTTCTGATGTCCTCTTAACTCTCTTTATGTCACTGCAATATTCCCATTGGTTTCTCTTGCAAGTACACAAACTTATGCATTAAGTAAATTATATTATACACATACCTGCCAACTTTCTAGGAATCACAGGCATGATATTTTTTATCTTAGGTGGGCTTGTATTTTTGAAGAAGTTCCAATCTTATCTTAAGAGGTCTCAAGTTTTCCAAAGGTGTCTTAGAATTGGGGGAAGTGTACCATAATTTAAAAGTACTTTTCTTTTCTGCCATTAGTTCTAGTACAATACATATTTTTTTAGAAGTTAACACTGTAATAATTCAAATCTTTTAGCTAAGTGTGAGATTTTGGTCGCAGAGACTCATGCTAAGTATACTCTGGGTCTATAGGCTGAATTTTTGGAAAGATTTCCGTATAACCCCATACATTTATTATGCATGCAGTTTTATTAATTATGTATGCGATCTATTGTTTTTGAAGACAATAGCAACTCCCTAAGGTATTGAATATATACA